TTATGACCAGATTAGTCGTTTGAGTAGAAAATTATAACGTACCTACGGTATAATATAGATAGACGTTATAATATATATATTATATTGAATGTCAGTTAAAATACTATTATTCATGGTGGTTAGCGTCGCTTTTAACACCGCCCTCAATTTTTAATGCAAATGTTTCTAATTGTTTTCATAAATAATTTTAACGGAATGTTAAAAAGTGCAGAATAATGTCACAATAGAAACCATCGTCGATTATTATAAATAAAAACATTAAGTTTTAGGAAAATTTAGATTCATTGTTTTTGAAAAACTTGAGGCATGCAATTAAAGTTTTTCCTGTTAATAAAATTAAAAAGAACTGAAAATAATATTATATCCTATTGTTCAATGAAAAATTAGTCAAACTTGTATAAATGAGGTTAATCGTGTAGAAATAAAAACTCACTGTCCTCCATTTAAATGTATACAATTTTATTCAAACAAAAATGTGTTTTACAGTTTTGGATTTTACGGCATTAAGACGTCTTGTCAAGTATGGATTTGTTTTAAAATTACGTTTTATATTCTGTAGACATTTTTAATGTGCAGTAAAAATCTTTATGAATGATAGATAAATTAACCATGTCTGGACATTTTTTTAAGTTGGTACTTATAATATGATACTGATTTTTTTTAGAAAAAAAATACTTAACAACTGTGACAAAGTCTTAACGTCAAAGAAACGTAAGAAAGTGCGGACGTTGGTTTTATTCAGTATCATAATACATTTTTAGCACGTACTCGCAGCTCTCTCGACAAATTTAATAAATTTAAAACAAAATATTTACTGCTGTTATTCAATAAAATATATAATATTTTGTTCTAATGTAAACTGGGTAATAATGTACAATTTTTACATTTTGAACCCTGAAGAATTTTTATATATATTTATGTGCGATGCAATGTCCACATAAAAGTACTGCAGCACTGATATTCCGTTTGTGTCTTGGAAGCATTTCTATAATTATTGTTTAGTATCGTTATACTTACGTTTCACCATGCAGTTTCCACATTCAGCAACCTTCTCAGATCAGTATTACTTATTTCCAGGATAAATTATTTTCTCTAGCTCCAACAGATTTATAATTCACACGGAACTTTTATAATAATATTCGTCTATCCATAAGTACATCAATCGAATATTATAACCATTGTGGTTGTATTTACACTGTTGCTATAATAATATAAGAAACAAACCCATAGACAATGCGTACATAGTTTTGAGCAATTGTTAAAAGTTTTACAATATAATAGGTAAGTATCGTATGTCAATGTGGATATCGGTTAGATCTTAAATTACATAATATTATAATAGTACGTATAGATACGTAATTCGAATATTGACGAAAAACCCTGTTAAATAATAATATCATTTTGCACTAGGTGTACTATGCAGTATAATAATATTATAATATTATAATTGGTAGAAATTTAATTGTGTTCAGAGGTTAATTATCGATATGTCTACTGATCGCATTAAACAGGTCGTTTATCATAATATTATAACGTATAATATAGTTCTACGGCGGAACGAAATCGACAACGCATAATAACATCAAATGGTTGTCCGACGAGCCGAGCTGATATAGTCGTGTTGCAGAAGATTAGAGGGCGTTGTGCAGGTACCTGTAACCGTATACCGCGTAATATTGTGTCTGTAGGTTGCTGCGGTGCCTTTCATTGCTGCATCTTTATGCAGGCGAACCCTCGGATATATAGGTATCTGGTATACGCGGTTCTACTACGACGGTGTTGTGTTTTTTGACCTGTGTGCTCGGATCGGGTACCCGACAATCGGATCAATTATCACGACCTTTACAATATTATAATACTGCACAACGTTATATAATATTATCGTAACACGAACGCGATTCAGCCGACGACGGTGTTATAATAATATTATGCATAATCTCATACGAGTGAATTATAATAATAATTGTTCGCTGCAGTGTTCGCACGTCTCTCCGATGCATTATCGACATTGTACTACTCTACCTATTTAATACGCTGAATCATATTGTTGTTCAAAAACAAATACCTTGTGTACGATGTTATGACTTATACATGTTAATGTAGTTACACATACCTACTACAGCAGTATTACATCCACGACTTTAGCTCGCCGTTAAATGTATAATAATATTATAATAATGACAAATAAGAACACGCTTGATGTTTCGTTCGAAACATTACCTTACGTCCTATTGGAATAACATATATTGGTATATTATATTATTATTAATTATTTTTATTAGTGTATAAAGTACACTGGTTTCAGGTGGATTTCAGATGAAATAATCGACAACCCGATGTTGAAATCAGTGTTTTGCATGCAGGTTTGCGATACGCTCGTTTTTTGTATATTAAAGTCTTACACGACCAGAACGGATTTTTATCATCGTATATATTTTTTATTCAAACCGACTATTACGTCCATCGTACTTAGTATAACGTGTTCGAAAAATATCAGCATCGTGTCCATGATTCATATCGCGAGCCATCGATGATTTTAACTTGAGCGTGTGCACTGTGAAGTGATTGATAAAATACCTACCTACCTACTGAGTTTAACTAAGAGTTATTGGTCGTCCACGATTTTAGTATAAGATTATAATAATATTATATAATATATTTAGTGTATATCATATTATATTAGAATTATTTTGATTAAATTGAAATATAACTGTACCGATATTATTTTTGTCAATTATTTTACTGCTAATGGACGCAATGTAAATAATTAATAAATAAATAATATTAATGATCGTTGAAGAGAAACAATTTATACTTTAAAAAAAAAATATATTAGTGAAAAACAATATAGGAAGCAATTTATATAAATAAATACAAATATATAACCAGTAGTTTCAACTATTATAGGTTCATGATTTTTGTTTAGATTCATTATCAAAAAAAAAAAAAAAATAAATAATAATCGAGTATCAAATATTTTGGTCATAAATACAAAGAAGATTATTTTCGAATATTTCATACTTTTAAAACAATAGATGAATTTAATTTTGAGTGTACCTACACACATTTTTAAGAAGCTTTCAATTAATTAATTTTAAATACATGATAAAATACTTTATAACTATAATTTATAAGGTTCTATTGTTAAGTGTTTTCCTTCAGCCTTCTATGTGTAGAGTAGATCTTTAAAACTTTTATAAGGACATCAAAAGCTTGGAAATGAGACTCAAATATGCGATTTTTTACAATATAGAAGTTTAATTTTAGGAAATTGAGAAAAAGTACCAACACCAGTAAATATAGACAGAAGACTGACTGAGACACTACTTTTTTTTACATTAATGAGAATTATAAAAACCTTAAGTATTATTTATACTGAAAATAAATAGTGTACATTTTTGGAAGCATGATGTTTTTTCTGGTTTTTACTATAGAAAATGTGTCAAGTATACACAAGATTTATCGCGTGTACGTAAAAAACCTCTAAAAACGTTTTATAATTATTTTCTTACCAATATTTAGAATATTCATATATTTTATTTTTATCAAATATGTAATGAAAATTAGTCCTACAGAAAATGTCATCATTTTTTTACAAGATGAGTATTCATTCCGTATTCCTTCTGTGGCTAATAAATAATATCTACTACAGTACTACCTATTCTTTCCATAATAATACAATTAAGTACATAATTGTTTAAATTTATAAACAAAATTAAACCCAAAAATCGCTAGATATGTTTGACGTTTGTCTTTAATATTTAAATTGATGTAGTCATTAACATAATACAATTTTACTCTTAAAGTCATCTGTTGGGATTAAAAACAAGTGGTTTTGTTGTAATATTTTGTGAAGGTTCAAAATCTATTGTCACATTTGAGATAAAGTAAATATTGTTTTTCTCTTTGATTGAATATTTGTATTTTATGAAACATTATCAATTCAGTTTATAAATATATATATACCTATATTAAACAAATTTGTAGCAACTCAAAGACCAGAGTAATAAGCAATAACTATTATACATTGGTACCTACATGTACCTGCTATTATTATATTTTATTTTTAATATTGTTTTCTTAAATTTAAAATTTTAGACAATAATATATTATGTATAAGTTGTTAAGTGTTGAGTATATTATGACGGTTCATAGGAAAAAGTGAAGAACAGTGAAATTATCAATATTAAGTGGAAAATATGATACAATATCATTTGAATTATTGTATTAAAAATGACAAATAAAGTTAACTCAGATTATTTCAAAGTGGATGGTTCTTGGACAATGCATTTGAGGTAAAAAAAAAAGATCACCTAACTCTTTTTGTCCTGAAAAAGTTGTTTTTTTAGCCAAAAAGGCAAAAAGTCTTTACCTAAATCAAATAAAAGGAAATCTGACTTTTTTTCAAGCACATCTATCGTGTAGATGACGTATTTAGTGTTTAAGAACGGACGAGGCCGAGTGAATTGGAGCAGTGGTCTACCCTCCAACCAGGTAAATGCGTATAATATTACACGGTGACCGTGAGCCATGAGGAGACAAAATTAGCGTGTGTACAAAAAAAAAAAAAAAATGGGAAAAAAACCGTAATATCTGTATAACTACATAGAAAATGATAAATTATCAATGTGTACATCCGGTTCAACCTTAACCGCGGCAATGACGACGGGAGGTGCGAGGGGGTAACCAGCGACGGTGACCGGGTTTGACCAGAACAACAGTGGTATTACGTCTAAACCTCGAAAAAAAATTAACTGAAATGGCGCTTACACCCGGCGACGACGCCGGAGGACAAGTAGGGCGTGTTTGGTGCGTTTGTCCTTCGTCCTCGCCGAAAAACCGTCAGAGCCCCCTTCTCCCCTGTTGGATACCCGGTAAACCACCATCACATCGAGACTATATAAATCGGTTCACCCACTTTTGCCAACTATCAATCACCAACGTTTGATCTGTAACTGTCGCAATTCAAGCACACAAATACAGCCACTAAAACCATCAAAATGGCATACATGGTAAGTGACTATAATGGATAATATTATATAAGTTGTAAACTAAGTTTTTTAATAGGTACGTTTCACGTGCTCGAAGTTTGGTTTTGACTTTGCGATAAAAAAAAAAAATGAATAAATAAATAGAATATATTTTTCGAAGCCTATGCAACTTTCATGACTTTATGCTCTCTGCAATCCTATTTCTTTCGTTGTGTTCCGCATTGCGTCGGTTTCCGACTGGTCTTTGCATCCGGCATTATACGTGGATTCAGTACCTACTTATGATTCTGTATAACTCTATTTATTATTAATATTATTAATAGGTACTAATCAACGATTCTGTATAAGAATTCTTTGCGATGTATTATTCTGGTACATAGAAATGTTTTACTGATGATTTTCTGTATATAGTTGGCCCTTATCGAGAATTGTATGCATTTCGAACAATAAAATTTGTTATGGTTAAATTTAAATCTGTACACTCGTAAATGCAGTATAGTTTTAATATTTAATTCAAAGTAAAAATAATCGTTATTCACTGTTTCAATTAGACGAGGTAAATTTCTAAACTAAATAATTTTACTTATATTCTGTATTATAAAAAATATAACTTAAAAGTGTACAGCTTTTGTCTATCATCGTGCGCTTATTATTATACTGTAACAGTGTAACACGCTCTCGTAAAATAGTTTAGTGTAATTATTTGCCTTGTAATTCAAGATATTTGAACTTATTGTTATGGATTCATTAATATTTATCATTATTATCCATCGTTAAAATAAATACATATTTTATTTAGTCACGTTTCCAAAATACTTAAATGCTTAGACTTATTTTGTTTCGACTCGGTTAAATCTTAAATGTATTAATAAACTGTCAGATATTTGCTCGGTATGGTTTATAATAAATAATTACGTAGTAAAATAGAGACTATATTAAGATCAATGTGTTGTATATATTATAGTTTCTACGTATATTTTTATTACAAAACTTATGAAAGACGTAGTTCTGGAAAACTTAATTAAATCAAATCACTTCCAATTCGTTTGGTAATACTGCCATGTTCTTTAAAATTTAACTAGAATAAATTATAATTTTCAGACAATTTTTTTAGTACTTACCTATATGTATATATTTATAATATTATGTGTTAAATATACAACAGTGATTAAACTTACACTAAAATAAGTTATTTAAAGTAAAAAAATTAGAGATTTTTTTTTAAATACTGAATTTATTACTTTTTAATAGTTTTGACTGATAATAATATAATCATTATTGTTTATTAACTATACCTTGAATAAAGGCAAGACTATGTCTTGTTAAAATATTAAATTATTTGCTTTTAATATCATAATAGGTGAAAATGGGCAATTTGCCTAAAAAAAAAAAAAAAAAAATGCTTTGAAGTTCTCACTTACTTTTATGATATATCCAAGATAAGAATAATATTTTAAATAGCTATAATATAAATAAAATAAATCAAAGTTATTATTAAAACAATTAAAAAATAAAAGTTTTATGAACTCAAGATAGATTATTCGATATAAATATTTAAAATGTTGGCAAGTCCATACCTGTATAGTATATATTTTAATTAAATGAAACACACCACCGATAAATTTAACACATTTTTAAAAATTATATATTCTTATGCTTTTTGTAGTGATTGATTGATATATGGTTATTTAGGTACTTACCTATATTTATTTGTACTTAAAAATAATGGTTAATAAGTTATAAATGTATGGATATTGTATAATGTATATGGTATACAAAATTATAACTTATAACACAACAATAATGGTAATTATATTTTGGTTATAGTTCGTAGTCATCGCCGCCTCCATCTTGGCCACCGCCTACGGATCTCCCGTAGCAGCACCCATCTACGCCGCTGGCCCAGCTTACTCTGCACCAGCATACGCTGCTGCCCCGGCATACGCTGCACCCTCTTCATACTCTGCTCCTTCTTACAAACCCGCTTACAAACCAGCAGCATACGGACACGAATCTTACGATGCCCCAGCTCCATACAACTTCGAATACAGCGTAAACGACCCACACACCTACGACGTCAAGAGCCAATCTGAATACGCCGACGGAAACGGTTACGTCAAGGGATCTTACAGCCTTTTGGAAGCCGACGGTTCCACCCGCACTGTTGAATACACCGCCGACGACTACAACGGTTTCAACGCCGTCGTCAAGAACGAAGGTGGATACAAGGCCCCAGCTTACTCTGCACCAGCATACTCTGCACCAGCCTACAAGGCCCCAGCTTACGCTGCCCCAGCCTACTCTGCACCAGCCTACAAGGCCCCAGCATACGCTGCACCAGCTTACTCTGCACCAGCCTACAAGGCCCCATCTTACTCCGCCCCGGCCTACAAAGCCCCATACTCTGCCCCAGCCTACAAGGCCCCAGCATACGCTGCACCAGCTTACTCCGCACCAGCTTACGCTGCCCCGGCTTACGCCGCCCCAGCTTACTAAGCTAAATATTTGACTTTTTAAAACAAAAAATGTCAGTTCTAATTTATTGTTATTTATTTATTTAAATGTAAATATAATAAACAATTAATATTTGCAAATCAGTAAAACTCAAAGTGTATTTATTTATTTGTTTTTTATTAAAATCCTACAACGCTTACTATCGCTAACGTATCATACGAAAGGCTACAAAGAGTTTAACCATGATACAGAACAATAAATAAATAATATATTTAAAATAAATTAAAACGTCGAATTTCAAACATGAAATTGTGATTGAATACATATGTAGTCATTAGGGTTTACATTTAATGTGAGAACTAAAATAGTGAACTAATTATGATTGACTTGTAACTGGATAGGTAATACGTTGCACAATTTTTAGTAAATTAAAGAGCATAAGCCTCTGAGCGAGGATAAATATAATTATTTGTGAATTACGGATACTGAGCGTTGTTCAAATCTGGAACTGTAAGAGTTTATTAACAACTGAGTAATGCATTTGTCCTTGATCTAGCGGATTTAAGCGATTTACTTGCTAACTATGCCTTCTACATAAGCCCACGTCAAATATATTGTACACCTATAAGATCATCTTAATATAAGATTATGAACTATGTATGAATGGTTGACTATGAATGAGTTGGATTAGGTTAGGTTAGGAGAAAATTTGTGAAATATCTAATCATATATATGAAACAAACATTAGCTTCAATAATATGGCCTATATAAATGTATTAGGTCGTAACTATTATATTTACCTACTTTCAAGGCAAAATTATAGGAAAATGTTTATTTAAACATGTCACTATTCGAAGGTATTGCAAATATAAATAGGATTTTCCTTTAAAAACCTGTTCCAAAAAAAAAAAAAAACAACTCGACACTATCCATGATATTATAAGAACTTACAACATTGAATTTGACATTCAGAACAACTGTTTATTATCACTTATGGTATTATTTGATAATTTAGAAATGTAGGTATAGAACATTTTCCACACACAATTTATGCTACGAGTAAGCTTATTAAGCTTAGTCTTTAATCATTTCCATAAAGTCATAGTATATAAGCTTTGCTAGTGCGGAAGCCGGCAAGACTATATACATTTATTATTTTTAAAGCTGCAGCATGCGTATAAAATATATTCGACTAAATTTCTATGTCAACGATGACCTGTATAACAGCATACATGCTAAAATTGGTTTAAATTATTTTTCACTTTTTAACAAGCAATAAAAAACTATGTTTGATCAAAAATAATATTAATTATTATGCACATGCAATGTAGTGATGGCCAATATCATTATTTATTTTTTTGATATAAAACGTGTAGTTTAAATTTCCGATATTATATATTTCCGCTACCTATATATTTCTATAAATAAAATGACTGAATAATATTTATATATAAGAAAGTTAGATGTGAACATAACTACCTACTTAAATATTAGTTACTAATAACTATACTAATATAGTAACATCTGGTTCAAATACCTACTATTAAACTGTTTAAATTAACATTATTTTTTCAATAAAACTGTTGGTATTATGTATAATATAAAAATATTATACTGACAAATTTAGTCATTGTACTTATTTGTTTTAGTTGAATATTCAGTCATAACGATATAATCCACAATATTTTAAACAGTAACGAACTAGGTGGTTCGTCTTGACTAAGTCGTCATCATTTATGTATCTTTATGTATCTACGTATATTATACTGTGGTACGTATCTTAATATATTATTTTGTAAAAATCGTATGTTTAAATATAAATCAACAATCATATTTTATGTACCCAAATGCTCTAAAAATTATATGTTTAAATATAAATCAACAATCATATTTTATGTACTCAAATGCTCTAAAAATTATAATGCCACTATAACACTAATGATTCCATCATCACCATAAGAAAATCACAGTGTCATAAATATTGCACATTCGAATGGTTACAAAGGAATATGTTACCAAGATTTAATAATCTCCAAAACGACTAACCATTAATCAATCAATTGTTTGATATTTTGTTGCACCTATACTATTACCATATTGTATTTCAGACCAATTTATTACACACAAGTGACTAGTTAGTTCTGAAATTACCTTATCCCTGAGGACAATATGCTGACTAGGTGCATCAATTATTAATACGTATGTTCCAAAATATTATGTTGATCGTGTTACGGTTTTGTTACGTACGTAGCCTTTAATAGTATACGTATGTACATATTGTATACATATTATTATTTATGTGTAAATATGTACATTTATATGTATAGATTATATTATAAGTTATAACAATAACTATAGTATGAATTATAAGCCAACATTGACTGACCTATTGAATGCAACAAGAATACAATAGGTACATAATATTATAATGGAAAAATGCACATTGCAGGAGTATATTAAATTGTATTCCTAAAATGAATGCATCACAAAATAACAATTTATAACAAATTGTAGCATATTCCATAATGTGAATAATAAAATATCAATTTTATTTTAACAATTATGAAATAAAATCTTGTAAAGATGCTAAACAAAATATCCAACTACCATAAAATACGACTACAAAGTATTTAATACCATACTCGAACTGATGCCTAGGTAATAATAATAATTATTATCGAGTTCAATGAAGTTTATACTTTATTTAAGAACTCCCATTAAGAAATTCAATTTCTTTTGCTTTGTTTTATTACCTAACCTATAATAGTTAACTTCGTCTCGGGAATAATTTATTTGTTGGATATTACTAAAAAAAAGTTTATAACTAAGTCTCGTAAGCTGAGTTATATTTGTGCTAGAAAACGCCAAAATTACAACACTAACACAATAAAAACTAAAGCAATAATAATAAAACGCCAAACTATTCAATGATGAATGAATTAGCTGTTGTATCTTATATCAATATACGTCAGTGTGTAGCCTTTGTTACGTTGTCTTAAATGTGTATATTTAACATTATATTAAATTTAATGAAATACAAAAGTTTGGAGTACTATCAATATTACAACATATATAGTAACTGTAATATTTGAAAAAATTCTAAACTATTAATATTCACTTTCATATAATATTTTATTTTTAATGAAACAATTAAAATTAACTAATGTTTCATCTTCAAAAGTTTAATCTTATTTCAGGTTGTTATGAAAAAAAAAAAAAATGATTTATGTATTTTACTCGATATCAATGCTTGATGTAAGTAACTAATATTTTTATTATTTTAAAACAATTAAGTAAGTTCAACTTTTATTATTTAATTAATTCAAACAGAAATTTTAAATAATAATAACATTTATGTTGAATTGATTAAATATATAAATACATACCTAAATAAATTATTTTGTTACAATGTTGGATGTTTGTATTTTGAAGACATGAGGATATCTTTTGGCTGGGGTTCTATACGAAATTTGTATAAAGATTTTTTTGTTACACGTATTGTCAGTTGCTATGGCGACATCGTTAGTTACTATATTATATGATGTAAATACGCGTAAATTATACATACCTATGCTAAACGAAGGAATTCCTCGCAATTAAAATTTCATGTTCGGGATCCGATGTCTTTCATAATCATTATGTTTATATCAATTTTTTTTAATTTTAACTATTATGGTAATTTTTCCAAAACCGTTTTTAAACCATACCTATATTTTTTGTTTTATTTTTATTATATTGTTATCTTTTTAAAATATTAAATAATTTGATAAAATATGCATTAGATTTTTTCTTATAAAATATCTCTAGTCGTACCCCTATCGTACACAGTTTAGTTTTGATAAAATCATAAATATTTTAAAATTATATACGTAGTCAATCTGAAACATTTTAGATAACTCTGTTACTAGGCATCTTTAAAGTTATTTCGCAGACAACGATGAACGAATACGACATTATAAAATCATTACATTCTCATTTCTCGTCGTCGATAAGAATCTTAGGAATATTATATTATTATTATATGGTGTTAACTGTTTAGTGAATATCAAAAGTCAACACACAGTCACCATACTTGCTATTGTGTATATTTTATATTACCTATTCTAATATACATAATAATATATGTTTATGAAGTTCTGTAATTGCACAAACCAATATTATTGTTTTAAATAATACTTAATTAACATATTAACCACATTTTTATGTAACTGGAACGTTCATAATAATTATTACCCTGTCAGTCTATTATTAAACACGAATAACACTAACATCAAAGTAACGGAAAATAATATTACAAAGATTATTGGCACGTTATTGTGTTCACGCGTACTTACCTAAATAATATTTAATAATAAAATATCTATCCGACTGTGCTCCATTTGTTTTATTTATTTTTTTCGGATAGTTAGCACGTCATATTCAACGAGGTATTTTTATCATCGTGTCTTGCGTGTGTTGTCGCATGCAGTGAATACAACATTTCAAAAAAAGTTAATAAACGCGTATAATTGCAAGTGAATAATTAAATGAGGACAGCGAGACACGTATGAATAACTTATTACCTAATTAAATTTTAATATACGTCGCGTATTCAAGCATTGAGAAAATATATCAACAATCTCCAGCATAGACTTGCTAATTTGAGTATTATTTAATGTTTGGTACTTGACCTAATGCTTAGGGTAATCTTTTAAGGGTCTGCTATTTTAAAACGGTGTGACGTAACTTTCAAAACGTAATCGATGGGTTTTTCATGTAACTTTCAGGTAAAACCACCAGACGACTTGTCCCTTCCAGACTCGTGAACATATAATAATATTATGAGTATCACACTTGACATTAAACTTTCGTATACACTCAGAAATACTCGGTTGTTATAATCACATAATGTTATATATTATATTGGTGTACGTGTGATCATAATTTTCTTGTCCAAAATGGGGACACTTTCTAAAAGTTTTTGAACACTACTGATACCTACTGGATAAAATGTATTATAAAACGCTTCCCAAGTGATTATTATGCTAATTAGTTTTGTTTTTATATAAAATTAATAGGAATAAATAGTAAAAAAAATATATTTGAATACTACTTTTTATAAGAATTCTTAGTTATTGGAATATAATAAAAATAATTGATGATTGAATAATTGTGATAGTGGTCTCTACCTGAATATTGTTCTTAAATTGTATAACTAAAACCATGGACTATATACGTAGTAAAATATTTATTTACATACAAATTATTAAATAAGCAATTTAAATATTGCATTTTCACAAATGTGGGACAAAAGAGGGGTCCCCTTAATATGGGACGCCTGGCTGCACTAATGTACATGTGTGTGTGTGGGGGGTTTTGACATTTATTTTTTAGGGCGGGGAGATTCAATATGTTATTGCATTTACTCGTATGTGTATACCATAATTCATAAATCGACAAAAATTGTGTAAGGCGTTTATATTTTTAATAGTGACAAATTTAGGGCACACGTAATTCTACAGAAATTGAAAACACACTATGCCAGAGGTAAATGCACAGCCTTGGTGCTGGATTATTGTTATTTATTTTACATAAAAGCGTTGGTCGGTAACACACTATGTGACCGGCTCGTGGCTGCTGGGCACAGTCGGCTGTCTCCGTGGGGAGTGGCCGTTTTTAAATTTCTTATAAAATATTACAATATTCCATACACCTCGGGGTAGGTCATCGTATGCGACTCACAATGTTTTTTGTGTCGTTGGTCCGAGCAAAAAAAGTGCCTGGACATAATATATTATATTATAATAAGTAGATCACGCGTGGTATAAATACAACAGTAGCAGCAAGATTTCGATCAATATTCTGTCCGAAACAGATCACGTACAACTCAGATCACACACAACTCAAATCCAACAAAATGGTTTCTAAGGTATGATGTTTTTATTTTTTATTATATAATATTCGTTTTAAATTTTTTTTTAATCAACTCATTCTTCGTTAATATCAAACAACCGATGTTTATATTTTTATATCGCTTAATTTAACACAGCCATTAGGTAGTAATCATTATGTATTGAAATTAAATGCTTAATACTTATGAAACTCAATAGTTTAACACTTTTACCAATTTTAAATTCTCGATTGCTATCAACGATATTGTTGTTAGTGTTTTAAAGCCAACAGTCTCTGATCATTTTATAGTTCAACAGCAGTTGAATAAACAACCGAATTCCAAAAATATGAAAGAACAACAGTTGTTGGACCGTTAATAACGTTTATATAAATATTTATTTTTGTTCGGTTTAATTATTCAATCAGAGTCTATTTTGTTTTTGTATTTATAGTAGTTACTCGTTTGTTGTTTTTATAGATTCTCGTTCAAACGTTCAATTTTTTACATTTTCTATTACGTCATCTTGTATTGGTAATTTGATAGAGATAATAATTGTTTAATAAAGATAAACTCAAGATATTATGAAGTTTATATTATATAGTTTATAGTTTATACGTATAAATACTAAAAAATATCGTACATTGATACACACATAGAACAGACATTATATTTTAATCTTTGAGTATCCATTCGAAAAATAACTCGTTTTGGAGTGTTTATCTAATAGAAAAGGTTATACATTTATATATTAAAAAAACGTGTGCAGAGATTGGCAATACGCGATTGCTTCAAGCACACGGTCACAGATTCGTACCAAAAATAATAATAATCGTATGTTTCGATCGTAGGTCGTGATTTTGGCTTCAGCCATGTTGGCCGCCGTCGCCGGATCCCCAGTGTACCCGTCACCCGCTTACTCTGCGGCACCCGCTTACCACGCACCAGCGGACTACTCGGCACCCGCCCCGTACAGCTTCGAGTACAGCGTAAACGACCCACACACCTACGACGTCAAGAGCCAACACGAGTACAGCGACGGAAACGGTTACGTCAAGGGATCTTACAGCCTTTTGGAAGCCGACGGTTCCACCCGCACCGTGGAATACACCGCCGACGACTACAACGGTTTCAACGCCGTCGTCAAGAACGAAGGTGGATACAAGGCCCCGTCGTACTCGGCACCGGCTTACTCCGCACCGGCGTACTCGGCACCAGCGTACTCTGCACCGGCCTACAAAGCTCCGTACAGCGCCCATGCTTACAAACCAGCGTACAAACCAGCTTACTAATGACGACAAGCCCGTCACTTTAGCGTGTCGCCATCCTGCGTGACACGTTCTGTCTCCTTCTTTAATTTATTTCGATTTCCTCCTCTTTGTTTATTTATTTGCGGTAGATTAAAAAACTATGCGCCCGTTAGGAAAATGGCATTTTTTTTTTACTGTTCCCCTTTATCATGATATAGCTGCCTTCTTCATTCAGGTTCCACAAACGCGACCACGGTGGTGGTTTGAAAAACTGCGTTTCATCGCCTCCGCCGTAAATGGCGGTTTAAGTGGTGTCATACTATCGGACGATCGTCCAGAATACTGTGCTCACTACTGCGATTGTCCGTTTGACAAATTCAAATTCAGATATAGGCGACGGAGTTGCATTTTTTGATATGCAGGTGCATAGAACTGTGTAATAATTGACACTGAGTAGTGCACTTAGTGTGAGAGAGATGCGTGGTGTCGGGACTTCTCGAAGGCGTGAACCTCTAGTGATTATAAAAACGCCGTTAGGAAAATGATTCTGTAACGATCCATGAGAACTCCGTCATAGTGAGTGCTTGTGTATTCAGTAGGTACTTACCTACATGTGAGTATTATATTTCAAAAAAATATGACTACACATATTGCGTGACACGTTATAAAACCAAACATTCCATTGTTGATTTTATTATTAAGAAAGAATCATCTTCTTTCTTATCAACCGACGAAAATCTGTGCAATATTATTTTCCAAAAATGAAATAATATTTTATGATGTAATAGTCCTTTGTGTGTTTTGAACTGAATATGCATCTACCTCTAAATAGTCCATACAAATTATAATAATATCATATTTATATTCTTATAAATCGATAAATCTAAAACGTTAACAAAAATATACTTTAAACAATATGAATAAAATGATAGTGCCTTGGAGCAATGGTTTCATGCTGTTACCTAATGGTGTGTATAAATCATCTTTTACATTATAATGCAAAGGTATGACATTAGCTCACATTAAAATCTGGTTATTTGTACGAGTGATTTGTTACAAACCAATAATATTAATAACATCACGTGTTACCTAGCTGAATTATCTACATCTGGCCCACATCTAGTCCACAAACTTGAGTTTATTATAATCGTACTAAAATTTGAAAATAATGTCAATGCATCGACAGTGTTCAACATATTTTTAGGCTTATTGTTGTTATACAATAATAATTTGTGTTCACAATTATTATTTTACATATTTCATCTCTATATTAGGTTAGTAATACGATAAATTCATCTTTATTTTAAAGAATTGTCTAATACTTTCAAAATCTTTAAAATCAGCTGATATAGTTGGAAAGTTTACTTTGTAAATATCAATATTTAATTCTGTAGACTTATAATGGTTAAATAATAACAAATAAATAAATTACTCCTTAATTTGAAAATATTGAACCTACACAATACAATTACTAATAAATAATCGGACTTTTATCTAGTATTGAATACTTATCTTGAGTTTAATGTTAAACCGTGTCCTCAACTATGGTATGGGATTAAGTACACAACTTGATAGCTTGTAAGTATGATAAATTAAAGACAATTTCCTATCAGTATAGTTGTATTCGAGTTGCAGACCACCGCAACGTGACATGTACAGCAAACGACGTCTTAGCTGGCTTATAGACTATACTCGATTTTTCAGTAAAATCCAATAAACTGATATGCATTGTTGAGTATAATATCTTGATATTGTAAAAATTATGGCGGTTTGTGTGATAAACATTAATGACACAGACTTCCGGGGTCAGTTGGAAATTATGAGGTACAATGAAAATGTTCAATAACGTATCGACGTAAATGTTATTTTTGAATAATATAAAAGTTACAAAATGAAAGTCTAGGTGTTGAAATTGAAATTGTTATTGAAATTGTTGGAGTGTTATTGCACGTATGTATTTTTTCGTTACAGGCAATCGCATTTTAGTCGATCAAATCAAATTGTTATTATTGACATATTTTGATAAATAACAATAATAACAATAATAGTAGTAGGTAAATTTGTGTACATCATTCGTGATAGTATGATTGAAATGTAAAATAAAATTTTCCGGGGAAGCAAAAAAAAAAAGAAACATGGGTCTTCGCAGCTCTCTCGGTTTTCTGCACGAGCATGTACCTATACCTCACCAGTGGTATATAAATTATAATAGCGTCTTTGAAATTCGGTCATGACCGGTGAGGCGCGAACTCAATTACCCGCGTTCTATATGTATATATAGGATCGCCGCTGCACTGGTGAAGTCAAACTTACGGCCACTGCCGCCACTGCAGCCACTGTACAAAGTATTATGTCGTCCGCATGCTGCTGCAATATATACTAAAACTACCACCGGTGACGGCGCAATATTAATTACTGCGACAACCCACCGCCGCGGGTCCGCTTGGGCGTTAATAAATGATTGATCGCGACGTCGTCGCGCGTCGTGGTCGCCGCCGTGCAGGAAATAAAATACAAAAAAAAAATAATGTCAGCGTACGAAACATATAATAATTTTATTACGCTTACCTACTCGGCTATATACCATAATAATATATCATAAACGTAGATCGTGACCATAACCTAACGAATATTATACAGCCACGCATGTTATAATAGCTAGGCGTATATATTATATACATAGCATACGAGTATACGACGTATAATATGATAACAGCTGTTTTATTATACTCATTTTATAGGTACTTTAAGTATTTTCGCTATTCGCTCATGAGAGGACGTGATGCACGTATTATATAGATTATAGGTACATACACCGTCTGTATAATAATTAGCAATTCGTAGCGAAACCTTCCTCTATGGTAATTCGAAATTCTGGCGTTTAGGATATTACAGTGAGACTAATATTAAACACTGGCGTGTTAGTAAATTTCAAGAGGGCCAATATTTTCGAGACAATAATGTCCTTTTTTTTATAAAAAATAAATTAAATCTAGAGAGTTATTATTAATACCGAATCATTAACGAATTTTTAATCTATTATAAACTATTTTATCTGTGAATAAATCGCCAGCTGCACATTATATACATAAATCCATAATATTATAATATATTATACTAGCTGAAGTACAATACGTAATATGTTTATGTACATACATAATATAACGTATAGTAAAATTATAAAAAAAACATACACTGCTATGACTAAAAAAACTTTACTGCTTTCTCACGATTAACATTTCATGAAATTATACTAGATCATTCCTCATGCAATAACGATTAAAAATAGAACAAATTTTTTTTCATGAAATTCTCGTGACGTAAAGTAGTTCCTATAATCAGGCCAAGATATACATAAAGATATGTAACGGTTGACAATGTATGACGTAACTATGTAAGCATGTACAATAATATACATCCTATGTCAACTTTGCTATGTTTGTGCGTGTGTGTGTGTGCTATGTCATATATGCCATATATTGTTATAAATCGCGATTTACTCAATTACGTTAAACGCTCTGTACGAAATCCCATTGAAAATCAGGTTGTCATCCGTTTGGATCTCTTAGAGTTAACTCCTACGCGCCACTTTATAATTGATCTTAACATAATATACGTTCCCACAGATAACTCAACGTGAATTACTTATCACCGGCGTGCAAAATATATTATGACAGTGGTACCCACTATTATTAACACTGGATGATATTATAAAAAATTTAAATATCACATCATATATAGGCACTGAAAACCTTATTGTATAATATTCGTATAGGGGCTGTTATTGTATTAGTCTTTTTTTCACTTTTATACCGATTTTCGATGATATTTTGGTATGGGTGTTGACATTAATATTGATGTAATTTTGTGGTGTCTGGTCAATTTGCGTCTTATAAGGGACTACATTTCTAATCGAATTCCTTACTTCAAAAGTCTATAGTACGGTAATTACAACGGTATAGGTAATTTGTAAACATTATTTTGGGTGATTCAAAATTTAGGAGATGGAATTTGTAATATTTATTTCCACCCCGTGGTGTAGAATAATAGAACAAGATAAAAGGGTATTTATAAAAATGTTTCGATAAGTAGTTATTGTTTTTAAAATATTTTAATTTGTATTATAATATACAGATTTGTTTACATGTTTTACATTCGTAATTCGTATTATGTATTTGATATTATATTATCGTACATCATAAAAATTAACAAGCACGAGTTTTATCTTTTGTTAAGGTGCAATTTAACAATTTTCAGATCCGACGATGTCAACGGACATGAGATCGAAATGTTTCCAGTACGATTAACTTGAACTATAAGTCAATTGCGATTTGCAATCGGTATAGCAGTCAAAAAGTTCAAAAACGTATTAAAACTTGATGAACCGAATAAGACGTTGGAGTCAAGTGATAGAAAAAGAAAATATTATTTGAAATTATATAATATAGATTTAAAAAAATAAAGTTGCTTTATTCTTTATTTTGTATCTCATTTTCAGTTCCATAGATTTGAAAGATGTAATCATGATATTATTGACATTTTTGGAACATATATAGGGTGATTCACCAATCATGATAACCCATTTTTTCTTCAATAATACAGTTATTCAAAATCTGATTTTTGGAGTTTTAAATATACTTATAGGGTTTTGTAGTACTTTTGTATACTTAAGGAGTGTACCGTGGAGTTACAAACATCTATTTTTCTTATTAGTACCTTCTTTTCTACAATCCTACCACAAATTATTAATTATTAGTCATAAGTCAGATTTCGAGTAACTGTTTCATTGAAGGAAAATGGGGAAGGGCATGTTTAGTGAATCACCCTATAACATCGATAGTTAATTTAATTAAATTAAATTTGACTAGCACATAATTACGTTTTCAATAGAGTTATACTTAAATAATTTTACTGCCTTGATCTACTTTTGACCAAATAAATAGATGTACGACGTACGCATTAGTTTATTAATCAATGGTATTAAAAATCATAATAAATGTATGATGATTATTAATAAAAATGTAAATATATTTACATTTTAT